ACACACTGACATAACACTGGACTCCTGCTCAGCTCACACACTGACATAACACTGGACTCCTGCTCAGCTTGCACACACTGACACAACATTGTACCCCACTCAGCTTGCACATACTGACACAACACTGTAACACAATTATAGAATTTGTGTTGCATAGCTGTGCAACCATGTTGCTGAAGCTGATACATTAATTTAATTCAATAAGCAGCTGAATGAGGTCCTCTAATCAGTACTGTGGGCTCTTCATTACACAAAGGATTGTGGGAGTGTTGAACAAGCTTCCAAGCCAAGTTGTTGAAGCCAACACCTTGTTTTGTCTCAAGAAACAGCCGGATGAGATCCTTGGATCAATTAACTACTAACTACCAAACATGGCCTCCTTTCGTCTCTCGTTTGTAACTGTCCTTACTGTAGTTCTAGGCGTCATGGCACACTTGAAGGAAAATTCAGGAAACTACAAGCCCGTTTGCCCTTACTGTCCAATAGCTGGAAGGGCCAGGTTGTAGTTTCTTCTTGGCCCTACCTTCAGGCACCACTTTGTGTAGTGAAACAATCATTTTTGCAAAAATGAAAGGAACAGGATTCACATGTGTGATTCTACATCATTTTGGGTTGTATTTCAGAGAACTGCACAGAGCAGGAGACTGGTAATTTCAGCAAATGAGGTATAAGACAGTGGTATATAGCAGTGCAGTCGTGTGACACAGTTACCTTCATCATTGACGACAATGGAAGCAGCTCCTGTCGCAGCTCTGTCTGTCTGTCCAGAGAACTCTGTAGGTCAGGGGGGAAATCAGTTCAGCAGCTGCTGCCCAAAAGGTGGGATAACAGGCAGGACATACAGTATGAAAGGCATTGCAAATTCAGGACTCTCCTTTTCATTTAAACGTGTTGGAATGTTTCCAGTCCCCCAAAACACACAAAAGTTTTGTAATGTAGGTGTTAATTTGTCTTGAAAAATGCAAGTCCAAAAAAACACCCTGTACTGTCTTTAATTGCAACATCGATTCTTATTTGTCAGAGGGTGTTTGTAGAACGGTGTGCGGATCACACGCCCATCAAAATCTCTTTTCCTGTACAGATCTGACATGAGTGCACAGACGTCCTATCAAAATAAACATGCTCTAAATAAGCCTTACAATATTTATCCATTACATGCCTGGATACTATTCAGATTAGAAAAGGGAATGTTTTTTTGGAGATCAAGACCTGTGACACCCATAACAATGCCCCACGTGGCAATGGCTTCATCAAATTGTACCAGAGTGGTGCAGACTGGGATAACTGGTGTCCCTGTGTGTTCCACTTAATGGGCAGGTCCCAGATTGCACCCTGCGCATCTGGGACAGGTTCTGGGATGTTCGATCATCAGCATGAAGAGGATAGTGGATGGAATGGAATACCTGTGGACACGCCATTGTTCCTGAAATTCTGGATATAACTGTCTCCGAAGAAGTCCTTCCCCACCTGTGAATTCACATCACGAGTGGAAGAAAAGGATAACATAAAAATAAAGCCTGAATTCACTCAGAACTAAATCCCCGCTAATACACACTCCACACTAGACTGATGTAAAAGAGGCAATTTATTTTTTGCTGGAGAGCCAGCGGCTTTCTTATGCAATTATTTTTATTGAAATTATTAATTACTCTTCTCCCTTTATATAATCATAAATTGCATTTTCCTTTATAGATTAGGTACTGTTATTAATGGAAAACACTGGGTTTAAAAAATGCAATTACATTAGAATGATTAAAATACATTAAACACATTCACATGTTTTTACATTTAGATTTTATTTGGCAGAACCTTTCATGGAAAGTAACAGATGTGTGAACCCATCTGTACAGTGGCCATCATTCCAGCAGAGCCCCATACGCCACCGGGACAACCGGAACAGACACTCACAGATCTGAGTGGATCGCTCAGTGAGAGGTATCGAGTGCTATTGCAAATCAGCTGGGTATAAATAACACAAAACAACTGTGGATTTCAAGTTCATCAGAAAAAAAAAAAACAATGATCTGATTACAGGACGCCCACCTGGCCTCCGCAATCCTGTCTGGGGCACTGATGTCATAAGTGGTTCTTCAATTAGCGTGAAAACAAAGAAATTCAGAGGACAAGGCAACCCGGCGATCAGTGTGTTATATTATAAGAGAGATTATAAAAGCCGTAGGGGTGCAACGGGTTTATCCCTCTAACTTCAAACGGGATCTCATCTATTACTGCTGCCTAAAGGTTTGTTAAAGTGCTCACTCTGTACTCTATCCAACAGGGCGTGTGCTCTGCAGAGGTCTTTGGTGACCTCCCGAGGAAATGAAGAACCCCCTTTTTCTCGGGGGGTGCTGAGTGGATGCTGTACAGTACCTTGCACACCATGACTGTCCGAGCCCCGAGGCGCGCTGCCTGGACACACTGATTGGCGCCTTTGCCCCCATAGCCAGTGAAGAACCTGTGGCCGTGGATGGTTTCTCCGGCCTTGGGCAGACGTGGGGCCTGACTGCGCCGAAGACAGAAAAAGAGAGAGGGAGCTGAACACCGCTGAACCCTTGTACTGCGCCTCAGCCTTCACATGACAGAATCAGACAGAACTGCAAAGCCAAAGGCCTCTCTTATTAGAGGGGAGCTCCTCCAAAACAAAGCCCCTACTTTACTGTATAAGCAAGTAATGTGACTCGTTAGCAACACTTTATAGATTAGGGGTTGCAAAATCCCTTTGGAAGCATTCTGCAATCAAGACATATTAAGAAAAGCTCAAATATGACTATCCAACATCTGCTTTAAATTAGTCGCATGTTAGTGCCAAAATCCTAATTGGAGTCATTACCTTAACCTTAATCCAAGGGTAAGGCATACAGAGTAATTTCTGTAACATCTTTAATGATATGAACTTACTGTTTATGGACAGTTAATAACGGAAACTTACTGTAACCCGCCTGACCAGCATCAGCAGTATCTTACTTTCTCACAACTGACAGCTGCCTTGGGTTATTTTCAAAAACACAAGAATGAGATCCTCGGATCTATTAGTTACTAGCAAGCAGGCTAACTTCTTATCATTTTTAATGTGTCT